AAGCACAAGCCCACCCGTGCTTACCTTGCTCCCAGAGACCCGGTTCCTCTCGGGAGGGTAACAAGGGAAAGTAATAATCTTTTAATCTTCATAGGCCCTTGTATTTCAGGGAATTTCTTTTAAACAACATGTAGCTGGACAATCTGACAATCTTCTTTGTTATTTTTAAGTCCATTTGTTTTTACTATGATTATTAACATATTTTCATTTATTCTACTAATTTATTTATTTATTTATTTTTGTCTTTTTCTTCTTTTTTTTAATCCTTTGGCTACCCTTGAAGAACTTTTTTTTTTTTTTTTTCCTTTTTCTTAAAGTCATTTTTCCCTTTCTTGTGGTTGGAAGTTACATGCTTGAGGTCTAATCTTTAGTTGTTAAAGCAACTTTGTGGACATATATCCTATTTTTGAAGTTTAGAGTTAATCGACAATTTTATCCTCGTCCTGAATAATACAAACATCTTAAAACCAGTTCTAATTATCATGCTTACAACTTCTATGGTGGTGTTTTCTAGTATTTTAAGCTCTTACTTTGGATCCAGGAAACCCAACAAATCCAAAAAATTGGTCTTTCAATGATTTCAAAAAATTATCAGTCTTTGTTATCTTTAAGTCCATTTGTTTTAATTTGGACTATTGCTTTCTCCTCACTCTGTGCATTATGTCCATCAAATTAGTTAGATCTTTTCTCTTTATCCTCCACAATTTCATTAAAATGATTTCTTTACTTACAACTCTTGCAGCACATGTTGTTGAACTGTTGTTATGTGCCGTCGAGTTGGACCCGACTCATAGTGATCCCTCCTTGGGTTTCCGAGGCAGTATCACTATGGAAGTAGATTGCCCCATCTTCCTTCTGAGGAGTGGCGGGTGGGTTTGAATGCCAACCCTCGGGTTAGCAGTCAAGTGCCTTAGCCACTATGTGGCACATAGGCAAGTTATATTCAGAGCTCAGGTCTGCACGAGTGCCTGTCTGAATGTTTGTGGGGATAATTTTTTCCCTCCACCCACTGCTATGGTCAAAGAAGGCACATTTCTATACATTACCCTTTAGAAGGATGGGCTTCATTTTCCCTTTTCCATTGGCTAAGAGAGCACCCTGTGGGGTTTCAGCCTTACACAAGGATCACCTATTAGATTCCCTACCTGAAAGTGTCCTCTGGGCTTTCTCCCTCGTCCCCTTGTACACCCTGTGCTCCTCAACGTGGAAGCCCAGGCTCTGCAATGTATGGCAAAAAATCCCAGGACAAAAGCCGTCACTGGCATGGGATTAACTTCCTGGACATGTTCCGGGGATTTCAGCGAATTCTGGAACTCTCTGTATTTATTACTTTTATGCAGTTCAATTAAGCATTTGTGTGCGTGTGTGTGTGTGTGTGTACATCTTAGTTGTTTTAATGGCAAAAGTGGGAGGAGCACTGTCTTTGTTCTCTAGTGCTCCTCTAACAGAAATACCACACCTGGATGGATGGCTTGAACAAACAGGGATTTATTTCTCTTACAGTTTAGGAGCTAGAAGTCCAAGTTCAAAATGCCAGCTCTAGGGGCTGGGTGAAGGCCTCTCAACCTTGGGCTTCAGCTCTGACTCCTGTTCCAGGCCCACTAGAGCTGGAGGCTTTTTCTGACTCATGCAGCTGCTGGCTGCTGAGGCTGATGAACCCAAAATCAACAGGTAAAATGGCACAGTTCCCAGATTAGCAAACAACACGGCAGACCACTGGTCCTAGTCCAGAAACAGTTCCAAGAGCAAACAACACAGCAGACCACTGCTTCTAGTCCAGGATCACTAAGCAACATGGCAGGCCACTGAGATGAAGACTTGGCCAAATGTGGGATCCAGATGTGGCAAAAGCTAGAGACCTTCCTGAAAGCCTCTCCTTACATACTAGAAGCAGGTCATATCCCAAAGGCAGCTACTGAGCTGCTCCATCAACCATGGAGTTGATTTGACTCTCACCATGGGGAATAACTACATCCAGCTGCCCAGACATTCAAAACCAGGCCCAGCCAAGTCAACACATAATCTTAAGTAACACAAGCATCATTTAGAGATTGTAATCTACAAAACTGCAAGTCCAAGAATATTAATTTTATCTCCCACATCCTTCAGGAAAAAAAAAATAAAAAAGATCAATTCTCATACAAGCAGTATTTTATCAGGAACAAGGAAGAAACAAAGAAAGTCACATGTAAGAATGATGCAATGCTTATAAAAACCAATCTCTCTATGGCACATGCCTCACCTCCTGTGTTAAACCCATAAACCCACTGCTATTGAGTTGATTCTGACTCACAGCGCCCCTAGAGGACAGGGTGTAACTGCCACACAGGGTTTCCAAGACTCAATCTCCGCAGAAGCAAAGCCCAAACCAACCCACTGCTGTAGAGTCAATTCCAACTCACAGCGCCCCTAGAGGACAGAGTGAAACTGCACCATAGGGTTTCCAAGTCTGTAAATCTTTTATGGAGGCAGACCGCCTCATCTTTCTCCCACAGAGTGGCTGACAGATTTGAACTGCCAACCTTTCAGTTAGCAACTGAACTTTTAACCGCTGAGTCACCAGGGTTCCTTTGTCAAACCCATAATCTGAGCCCAATCCAAGAAGGAATAGGCATTATCAACAGTATATTCCTTTGTCAACTGGGTTAATGTATTGATGGCAACAGAAGGAAGTGCATCTGGTAAAAAGTAAAGCTTGTGCTTGTATACTGCTTTAAGAAGCTTGAAGAATGTCTCCAGAACTAATCTGTCTCTCTTTCCAAGACTCCTTAGGATTGCCATAAGAATAAACAAAACAATAAATGTAAAGGTTTTTCTTTTACTTTAGTTGAATGTCTATAGAAATTGTAGAAGGGATGGAATTAATATAAGAATTAGGATAGAAGAAAATATGTCCAGGGAAAGTACAGAAAATGCAATAAATATTTAGAGGAAGAATCAATTCTTTTTGTAAATAAAGGTTTACTTAAACACAGGAACACCATCTGTTGACATCGTGTCTATGGCTGCTTCCCCTGATAAAATGGCAAAGCTGAATACCTGCAACAGAGACCACATGACCCAGAACGCTCAAAATCCTCTTCCCTGGCCCTTTATAGAAAGTCTACAACCTCTGGTATATGGTATAGTGAAAAGGATAGTAAAGGGTGTGAGGAAGGAAAGAATGGCTTCTGACTTTGTTTTTTGCAGTTTCTGATTCAGAATAGAGGTTACTTACAGGCTCCCTAATATAACTCACCTGGAAGAAACCAGGAACATGTCTGCAGGAAGGAACTGCCCATTCAAGGCCTTCACTATGTCGCCCACCTTTACCTTTTACGCCAGGAGAAAGAACACAGAACGGTGAATTTTCAAAAGCACAAAGAGAGGTAAAGCATGTCAAATGATGTCAATAAAAAGTGCAATTTAAAAATAACATTCCAAAATCAAACCAAACTCATTGTCATTGAGTCTATTCAATTGGGTTTCCAAGGCAGCAGATCTTTACGGAAGTAGATCGCCCCATCTTCCTTCAGCAGAGCAGCTGGTGGGTTTGAACCACCAACCTTCTAGTTAGCAGTCAAATGCTTTAGGTACCATGCTATCAGTTAGCAGTCAAATGCTTTAGGTACCATGCTACCAGAGCTCCTTAAACATAACATTAGCCATCCTAATAAATCTTAGCTTCATGAGAACATTTTTATTCCTTGATGGATACATGTCTCTAAAACAGGGGTTCTCAAGCAGGAGTGACTTTTCTCCCCAGGGAATATCTGGTAATGTCTTGAGACATTTTGGGTTGTAGTGACAGAGTGGGGAGATGCTCATAGGTTTCTAGGTGGTAGAGGCCAAGGATGCTGTTAATCATCCTACAATACACAGGACAGCCCCCACAACAAAGAATTATCCAGCCCAGGAGGAGAACAGTGTGGGAGCTGGAAAGCCCTGCTCTGGAACAAAGTGTTTCCCCATAGGAACAGAGGTCCTAACAGGAAGAGAACCCTAGCAGACCTCCTAGTGATACTATTTTGCAGTAACACGTACTCAGCAACGTCACACTGCAGTTGCTTGCTTAATGGTCCAATTCCCTCTGCTAGTCTGTGAGCAAGGAGCTCTGATGGTGCTGTGCTCAAGGCATCTGCCTGCTAAACAGAAGGCTGGCAGTTCAAACACACCAGCCACTCCATGGAAGGAGGATGGGGCCATCTACTTCTGTAAAGATTTACCACCTTGGAATGCCAGTGGGGGTCGCTATGAGTCAGAAGCGACTCGATGGCTGTGAGTTTTTTTTCAAGTCTGTGAGGTTCGTGTAGAACAGAGAAATGGTCTGCTTTGCTCTCAGGAAAACATCCAGTGCATGGTATAGGTCCCTGGGTGACACAACGAACCAGAAAGGTTGGTAGTTTGCACCCACTGAGAGATGCCTCGGAAGAAAGCCCTGGTGACCAGCTTCCAGAAGGTCATGGCCTTAAAAACCGTACTGAGCTCAGTTCTACTCTGCACACCTGGGGTTGCCAGGAGTCAGAATGGACTTGATGGGATCCGTTTGGCGGTTTGTTTGTTTGTTAGTTTGTTTTTAGCATGTTGTTATGTGCCATCAAGTCAAACCCGACTCATAGCGACCCCTCCTTGGGCTTCCGAGGCAGTATCACTACGGAAGTAGGATTGCCCAACCTTCCTTCCGAGGAGTGGCTGGTGGGTTTGAACCGCCAGCCGTCTGGTTAGCAGGCAAGTGTCTTAGCCACTATGCTACCAGAGCTCCCTTGCTTCCTTATCGCCCCACAAATAGGCAGGAGGAGAATGCCTGTGCTGAAGGAGGGCCCAGATGGGAGTTCCCCTGGAGTCGGGGTTTCCCGGGCAGACCCGCAGCGCCTCCTAGTGCCCGACTCCTCCCCTTCCCCAGGTCCCAGCATTTTTCTCCTCACCTCAAGCGGGGGTGCCTCCTGCCTGTCACCGGCCTAGATGCCTCAGGGCCACAAGGTGACTTAGTCTTCTGCTCAATGTTTTTATGTTTTTAGTCTATGTTTTTAGCATAGGGTATGCCATATGGTAGGTACTTGGTACATATTTGTTGACTGAATGAATTCCAAATTATGCATAAGAGAGAGATGTCAGTACTAGAAGCAATGAGTAGGGAAAGCATTGTAAGCTCCTGCCCTTTTCCTCTTCAGCACTTATTCTTTACCAAACCCTCTGAGCATTGATATTGTGCTTAGCACTGATGGGAGTTCCTGGGTGACATAAAAAGGCTAATGTGCTTAGCTACCAACTGGAAGGTTGCAGGTTTGCGTCTACCCAGCAGTGCTCTGAAGGAAAGGGCTGGTGATCTAGTTGTGAAAAATCAGCCATTGCAAACCCCGTGGAGCACAATCCTATTCTAACATGCACTGGAATCGACTTGGTGGCACCCACACTGGTGAGTACTGGCAAAATAACTCTTAGAATGGCAGGCCCTTTCTGGGAAGCCAGAAAAGGCCCATAAATCACTTTGTGGACCTGTATTGGAAAAAATAATATTTTGCTAAAGAGGAAGAAGACAAGGACGGCTGATTTTTCTTATGACTAACTGACACAGTGTCTGCAACTAAGGGCTCAGGTATAGCAAGGATTATAGGATGGTGCCGGACTGGACAGTGTTTCGTTCTGATGTACACAGGGTCGCTATGAGTCAGAGCTGCCTTGATGGCACCTAACAACAACGATATGACTAAGTAGATAATTTCTATGTTAATTAACAAGCCACAGATTAATAAAACACTCCTAGATCAAAGTGAAAATTCTGGGTGATGCAAACTGTTAAGTACTCACCTACTAACCAAAAGGTTGATAGTTCAAATTCACAAAGAAAGTCCTAGTGTCTGCTTCCAAACAAATCAGTCACTGGAAATCCTCTGAGCACTGCTCTACGCTGACACACATGGGGCTGCCAGGAGTCGGAATTGACTCTCCCAACACCTGGTTGGTCTGCTAGTTTTTTTTGTTGGGGGGGCATCCAGCTGGAGCAAGAATTTTTTTTTTTTTTTAAATGTTCACAGCATCTTTATTCACAGTAGCTAAAAACTGGAAGTGGCCCAGGTATTCAGTAACAGACTGGAAAACAAACTGTGGTACATTCATACAACAGACTACCGCTCAGCAGTAAGAGAGATCAAATTTCACTGCATGCAACACGATGAATTCAAACTATGTTGAGTGAAGCAGCTTTACACACAAAAACTGCATATGATCTGATTTCATATATATGAACGTTTAGTAGAACCAGCTGTGTAATTTGTGGGCCCAATACAAAATGAATTTAGAGTACTTGGCTGCTAACTAAAAAGTTGGCAGTTCAAGTCCATCCAGTGCATCTGTGGGAGTGAGAACTGGCAATCTGCTCCCATAAAGATTACAGCCTTGACTCTGTCACATTGAGCTTCTATGACTTGAAACTGACTCCAGAGCATCTAACAGCAAGACAGTAGCATATGTTCTGCAGATAATAAAAAGATAGAAGGGAATATTATGAACAAGTTTATAGTAACAAATTGGACAATGTAGATGAAATGGAAAAATTCCTTGAAAGATCTGCCTCAAGTCAATCCTGACTCATAGCAACCCTTCCTTGGGTTTCCTAAGTCGTATCTCTATGGAAGTAGATTCTCCCATCTTCCATCCCAGGAGTGGCTGGCAGGTTTGAACCACCAGCTTTTTGGTTAGCAGTCAAATAGCTTAGGCACTATGCTACCAGAGCTCCCCCTTAAAAGATACAAATATTAAAACAGACACAAAAAGGAACAGAAAATCTGAATTGTCTTCCATCTATTAAAACATTGAATTTGTGATTAAAAATCTCCCGACAAAGAAATCTCTAGTCCAAATGGCTTCACTGGTGAACTCAAACAGAAGTACAGGTTTTCCTGGCTATCTGAACACAGAGTGCTCCTACGAAACCTTTTATAAGCTGAAATGGCATTAAGTAAACATGCAATTATCACTAATTTATATGGGAAAAATTTTGGAGCATTCCCAGACCCAAAAAATCACCTACAAAATCATACCAAATAACACATAGAAACCTAAAATTACATTAACATGAAGTGTTCCAGACTACAGTCTGTAATATGGATTTCACCTCAACACAAAGAAAACGGAAATCCTTACAAGTGGACCAATAAGCAACATCATGATAAATGGAGAAAAGATTGAAGTTGTCAAAGGTTTCATATTACTTGGTTCCACAATCAACACCAATGGAAGCAGCAGTCAAGACATTGGACATCGAATTGCACTGGGCCTATCTGCTACAAAAGACCTCTGTTAAGTACTGAAGAGCAAAGATATCTCTTTGAAGACTAAGGTGCGCCTAACCCAACCAATGGTGTTTTCAATCACCTCATGTGCATGTGAAAGCAGGAGAATGAATAAAGAAGATGGAAGAAGAGTTGATGTTTTTTGAGTTGTGGTGTTGACGAAAAGTACTTAAAGTACCATGGACTGCCAGAAGAACTAACAAATTCATCCTGGAAGAACTGCAGCTGGAGTATTCCTTGGAAGTGAGAATGGCCACACTTCGTCTCACCTACTTTGGTCACTTGTACCAGGAAATGAGGAGAGCAGTGCAGAACAGCTAGGGGAGACAAACCTGTCTGTCAGTTTGTCCTATTGTGGTGGTCTGAGTATTGCTATGAGGCTGGAGGCTATGCCACTGGTGTTTCAAATGCCAGCAGGGTTACTCACAGTGGACAGGTTTCAGCGGAGCCTCTAGACTAAGACAGACTTGGAAGAAGGAAGAGGCCTTCCACTTCTCAAAGAATTGGCCAGTGAAAACCTTATCAATAGCAGTGAAACACTGTGCAATAAAGTGCCAGAAGATGAGCCCCTCAGGTCTGAAGGCACTCAAAATATGACTGAGAAGGGCTGCCTCATCAAAGTAGGGCCGACCTTAATAATGTGGATAGAGTAAAGCTTTCAGGACCTCCATTGGCTGATGAGGCACATGTCAAGATGAGAAGGAACAGCTGTAAACATCCATTAATAATTGAAACATGGAATGTACTAAGTATGAATCTAGGAAAATTGGAGGTTGTCAAAAATGAAATTGAATGCATAAAGATTTATATCCTAGGCATTAGTGAGCTGAAATGGACTGGAGTTGGCCATTTTGAATCAGATGATCATATGATCTACTATGTCAGGAATGACAGACAAATTGAAGAAGAATGGCATGGCATTCGTCATCACAAAGAATGTACCAAGATCTATACTGAAGTACAATGCTGTCAGTGATAGGATAATATCCATATGCCTACAAAGAAGACCAGTTAATACTACTAGTATTCAAATTTATGCAC